ATAATGTTGTGTATCGTTTTAACAAGTCAAGGTCTACATTTTTCTTATTTGTTCTTGGTACAATGTTTTTAAATATATGGTATACCATTTCTTTCGTCCCTACATCTGTATTTAATAAAGTCGCATAGTTTTTCGCATGCTGTAATAAATGATAATTAACATGTAAATTCGAAAGATTTTTAAAGTCTTCAAATGCCTATTGTTATTAATAAAGAATGATATTATCGTAATAAACAGTACATTAATAAATCTACTAAATAAATAAATAGTTGTTAAATACCTGTGAAAGTAATTGTCTTTCATTGTCTAAACATTCGTGTAACTTAATATAATCCTCTTCTGTGAAAAAACGCTTGAATGCTATTGCTGTCGTTTTCGCCATTAAGACCCAGCATTTTAACCAGAGTTTTACAGCCATATCATTTCTTGAAACTCTTGTTCGTCTTCATAATTTATCAATTTCAGATTGTTTGAAATGTTGAGGTTTTAAGAATCTATTAAAAATGAAAGGAATCATCATAGTCAATCTTAAACAGTCTGACATCATGAAGCTGTCAATGTGAAATATCGGATTTGGCAGCTTTTGCCATGTTCTTGAATATTCGAATGGCTTCCAAAATGATATGAACGCTGATTTTCCTTCTTGAGAAAGTGTTTCAATTGTTATTTTTAGGAATCGCAATACTTTTCCGGCTGTAACATGATAGACATCTTGTGGCTACTGCAAGTGCCTCTCTCTCTTTAACTGGTTGAGTATTGATGGTCGAATTCGCAATCCGTACTCTGTCGCAAGCTCTTTACACTTCGTTATTATCGGAGCTACAGAAATTTCTTTGAATTGATTATCGTAAGATAATGATAATAGGAAATAGATAATAAGTCAAGACCGTCAGAAGCCCAAGAATCTTTTTTTGCATTACAGGTTCGATAACCTCTTATAGCACTGTGCCTTTTGACCCCGATCAAGTCATTCCCTTGGGGTAAGTCAGCAGTGGTATCACCAAGACTTGCAATTACGAGGCACATTTTTTCTTAGACATCCATTATCATTCCTTATTCTAATTCCTTCATTTCATCAATAAAAGGTTTAATGAACTCATCAAAACAACCGCCAAATGGGACGAATCCAAAGACAAAGTGGTTTCTAAGCTGCTTTCTTTTATTAAAGGGTAAATTTCCAACCTGAACATAAACGACATAAACGTCTCCCAATGAATGGTATATATTGCGGTATGTATCAAAATTATTGTAATAAAGGTCGATACACAGCTTATAAATCGGATGACCTGTAACTGGTACTTCCAAAGCAGCAAACTCTGAAGGATGTTGATAAGAATACATAATGTTTCTTAACTTCCAACACGCTTGATGTCTATAAAGGATTTCACGAATAAAAATCAAAGATTTATTAATATTAAAATAATCTTCATTATAAAGTATAACAATCATTACAGCTTTAACAATTCTTTGCAATTCGACAGATAATATTGCATTCTCCATTTCTCGGTCTAATAATCATAATTCATTTTGTGATCTTCTTTTTCGATTATTTCTCTGCAAGTTATTTGGCAGCTCCTTGAATGTTAAAATACGTTAAATCGTTATTTTGAGTTCACCACCTATATCCACTATTGCTAAAATTCGTCCAAATTTATTTCTTTCTATTGATTCTTTATATACCACGAAATCTCCACAACTGTAAATTTCTAATTAATAAACAATCATATTTCAGTACTGGTAGAACCTAATTTAACAAGTAAAAGTAACACTTACTTCCATTAATTTGAATAAAAGAACATCCGAATCGTGGTGATTCTTTCCATAAATTTCCATGCCATAATTTTAGATTTCTTTCAACTGTTTAACCTGAACCAAAATACATTTGGCCGAACAGTAAAGGATTATTAAGAGAATACCAAATGATATCTGTAATAGATAAATAATACATATTCTTGGTTTCTTGGGAAGTTGATGGGGTTTTTTTATTCGAAATATGAATTTTGCATTATTTGATGAAGAGTAGAAGTAATCTTTGTCGGTAATTCCTAAATCGGCAAATATTTGTTACAATATCCTCACTTTTGAATTGGGGATGACGAATTATATCAACCAGCTCGTCATATGCTTGGGTGGCTATTAAGATTTTGAATTAGTATATAAAGTGAATTCGAAATAATTAAAAAGGTCATAGAAAACTTACATATGTTATGCTTTTGGATCTAGCAAAACATTAAAACTTCGGTAATATTTTTAAAATATGATGCGAACTCTCCATTAATAAGTGGCATTTGCTCATTATTTAAGGTACTATCAATGATTTTATCAGATTCTTCTGCATTCGATGCTTCATCGCTAACATTTTCTTCATCATCAGTTTCTTCTTCGAACACTTCACCATCAGTTCCTTTTACGTTTAAAGTTCTATTACCAGTTTCTTCTTCAATAAACACCTTATTATCATCATCTATATTTGATACTTCATCAACAGATTCTTCATCAAGATCCTTATTGGATTCTTTTTCGTTTGACACTTTATCACCAGTTTCTTTGTTTAGAACTTCGTCAATATATAATTCTTCATGATTTGGAGCTTCATAATTGCTTTGTATTTCATAATTTTTATCTGATACTTCATTGTCTCTATTATCACTTTCGTTATCTTTACTATCACTTTCATTATCTTTTTCGTTATCTTTATTATCACGTTTTATTTTAGTGCAGTTATCTGTTATTATTAAAGACATTATTTATAAAATGACCAAAATACTGCATCGTTTCTTTTATTAAAAAATATTTACTGTTTATTTTAGTATTTAAAAACGCGTTAAATGTATTATATGGGTTTCTAATATAATTTTCACAGTGTTTTAAAAAGACATAGCGGTTGCGAAATATGTGTGACATAAAGAATATTTGTTATGCGAAAAATGAGAAAATATTTTCGTTTATTTATAAATTTTTTGAATTGATAAAATTTTCAGTTACTAAATTCCTTTCTTATTTATTTTACAAAAAAAAAATTCATAATTACTTTTTTCACACAAACAATTTTGTATTATATAATATTGTATTAAATTTCACACATAAACAATCTTTACGTAATTTTTATTTCACTTTACGTAATAAATATTATATTTATTGCTAATTTAGGATAAATAATTGTAATAATCATCATACGTAAAAAAGTTTGTAAAGTTTATTGATAAAGTTAAACCAAATTTGGTAAGATAATTATAAGAATAAAAGAGTGAGATAATATGTTAAACAATCAATCAAAAGTTTATTATAATCTAAATTAAGAGAAAAATAATCTTTTAAGAAACCTTATTATATGAATTAAATAAGAAAAAAAAAATCTTTTTTACCACTTTCTCAAAAAAACATGATGTTCATAAGATCTTCTAAGAAACGTGCGATAGAAAAGTTAGCTACAAATACAAATAAAAGAGGCTGTAAGAAAAAAGAAGAAATAGTTATTTCGGATGATGACCTTGATAAACTTTTAACTAATACCAATGATAATGTGTCTCAAAGTAAAAGTAAGAAGAAACACTTAAATGAACGTATCGATAACATCAATAATCCACCAAGTAAAAGTAAGAAAAAACAAAAAGAAACAAATAAACCTCCATCATCACAAATAATTAATGAACTTTTGAAAGATGATAACAATAATAATATTCTTAATGAAGATAATGGTCAAGACAATGGTGATGGTCAAAATGATGGTCAAAATGATGATGATGGTCAAGACAATGATGATAGTCATAACAATGATGATGGTCAAAACAATGATAATAATAGTCTTAATGACAATTATAATGGTCTAAGTGATGATGAAAAAGCTGCAGAAGTAGAAACTAATCAAAATTCAAGACCAAATGACTTAACCAAAATGATACCTTCAAGAATGTTATCTAATGACTCAATATCTAATAAACGAACTCTGAATAATACTCTTTCAAATCAAACACCTTCAAGAACTCGTGATCCACTTTTAAATCTATCAGTGAATCGAGTGACACCTTCAAAAACTTATGATTCAAGATCTGGTAGTTGCATTTCAAATGACTATACACCAAATCAATCAGTGACACCTTCAAGAATATTATCAAGGGAAAATAGTCCAACTGACTATCTATCAAGGAACAAATTTGGGTTTTCAAATAAAAACTTGAGAATGATATCAGAAAAAGGCACATTTGACTATATGTATTCAAATGGTATTAGATCATCAATACCAAGAGCGAATAGTCCATTTGGTTACATTCCTTCAAACAGAACTGTACTTTTAAGACCAATACCATTAGGACCAAAAGATAATACGTTGAACATTTCTAACAATACAACTTTGACTCAAGATGCGATGAATTTCAATACAGTTGAGGAAATTATTCCATCACCATTTAACGAAATGATAATATATCAACTTTGTTCATGGTTGTGTGCAATCCTAACGTTTTACAGCTCGCAATTAATATGAATTCGTCAATGAAAACTATGACTACAGAAGCATCACAACCCATATCTTCTAATAGATTTTCAACTATTTCGCAAGAAAATAAGAAAAAGGCCTATCGCGATTTTTTAGAAGAACTGAAATGCCTATCGCGATTTTTTAGAAGAACTGAAATGCCTATTTCTCTGAGTTTGAAACCCACCTAAAGGAGCTTTCGAAGAGTTGATACGAAAAATAATTAAGTGTGAAATAAACTCAGCTGAGGGAGTCGAGTGGATTCAAACATCAAATAGACACTTCGGCGATTTTCGTAATAAATTTGTTAATGGCATTGAGGATTTGGTCAATATTTTTA